GAAATGTTGGGGGAAAAGGAATTGAAGATAACTGTAGACAGCAGAGATAGTGTAATAAGAGAGTGGAATAGGGCAAGAGGGTCAGACATGGGGTAAAAAACATATATACATGAAAGTAGAAATGGAATATTATGGATGATAACATGCATGATTAAGCCACTATCCAGTTTATTCTAGATGGGAAACCACATTTTTTATTTTGCGATGATGCTCAGGGAATGAATGTAAATTAATAAAAAAAATTTTTCAGAAGAAAAAAAAAAGGCATTTAAAAATACCTATCTGATTAAGCCATATAGCCCTAGGTAGGTGCTACTTTATAGTATGTTCATTCTATTCACTGAGGTTTATGCCTAAAGTCAGACTTGTGTTCATGGATATGTATATTTCAGCTGTGCTTGCTATTGAAAATATTTAGATTTATTAAGATATTTAGTGAAACAATAAAATGGGGGAGGCAGAGAAAGCAAAAATAGATACCAGACACAATGTGGGAGGAGGGTGGGATATGGCAGAGGGTGAGATAGGGAATCAAGGATGGGAAAAAAGGCAAAATATACAGAAAACAAGAAATGGAAAATTATGTGTTGACAATAACACATATGTCGATGTGCTTGATTGAGTCAATATACAGTGTACTGTGAATAGAAATATCTGTGAATGGAAAAATCTCATTTTGTATGCTATAATGATGTACAGTGAATTAATGTAAATAAAAAAAAGTATATGAGTACATGCATACGAGAGAAAAAGAGAAAAACAGACTTAACAGGGTCTTGTCACACTCTGTTCTCCTTTCCCCTGCTCTCTAACTTCTGAGGATGATAGGTGTTTGTGTGTATACTCAGTGTGTTTTCAGGCCAGCCCAGTGATCCATACCTGTTGCTGGCCATGTGGCTTCCAGGATTGCAGTCTAGTATTCTATAGACTGCATTACCTAGTGGCCTATTTACAGGTTCCCATCCATAATATACTGTATAGTGGCTTAGTCATATGTGTTATTATCAACACTTTTCCATGTGTGTGTGTGTGTGTATATATATACACACACACATGTGTATATATATGTATATGTATGTATGTGTGTATATATTATATACATGTATGTATATCTCCCCCGATTTCTCACCCTCTGCCATTTCCCTCCCTCCTCTCACACTATCTCTTGTATCTGCAGTTGCTTTCTATTCCATTCCTTTTTTTTTTCAAATGTCTTAGTGTCTGCAACTTACTATGAAATATACCAAAATAAACCCTACAATATTTTAAAAGAATAATTAGGGGTCGGTAGGTGGCATGGTGATTCAAAGTACTGGATTACATATGGCTGACCATGGTTTGAGTCCAGGACCTGACAGCTTGCTTTCTTGCTTCCCCTTTCTCTCTCTTTCTGGTCAAATTAGAAAGTAATAATAACAAATGAAATAAAAGAAGAATAATTAATAACGACTAGAGAGGTGATATAGAGATATGTGATAAAGAAAATACAATAAAATTATGATAAAAATCTAGATGTAGGGGTTAGATGGTAGGTAGTGTAGTAGTTAAGGTACTGGACTCCCACATGGCTGACCACTGGTTAAGTCCTGGACCTGTTGGCTTGAAACTCATGCAGGGTATGTGTGCATGCACCCGAGAGGAAAATGGAGAAGGGATTGCAGTTTGGTCATCCCCCTGTGGGGGATGATTTCTCACTTTCTCTCTCTCCCACTCTCTGTCTCTCCAGTGAGTGCATGCCATACACCCTATAGCAAAACAAACAAACAAACAAAAACCTCTAAAAAACCCACACCTAAATGTAGGCATATAGGTATTCAACTGTAAAATTCTTTTTTCTTTTCTTTTCTTTTTTCTTTTCTTCTTTTAAGAGGTTTTGCCATAGGGCACATGTGGTTGACAGAGAGAGAGAGATTGACAAAAAGTGAGAAGGAAACTAAATCACTCCTAAGGGGGGATAGCCACTCCACAATCCCTTCTCCTCTTTTCCTCCCAGGACCTTGGGCAGGCATATACATGCACCCGGCATGACTTTTAAGCCACCAGGTGCCTGACTCAAACAGCAGTCATGCTGGGAGTCCAGTGATTTAACTGCTATGGCATGTGCTGTAAAATTCTTAACACTGTTTTATGGTTGAAATTTTTCAAAATAAAATATTGGAGGATGAGAAAGCTTATAATAATAGAGCTCAGTAAGGTAACCAGAAACAGAATAATTTTAAATGAGTTGCTCTTTTTTTTTTTTTTTTTAAGAGGTTTTTGATAGAGGGCGCATGCACTCGCCAGACAGACAGAGAGAGACAGAGAGACAGAAAGCGAGAAATCATCCCCCGGGGGGGGATGGCCACGCCGCAATCCCCTCTCCTCCATTCTCCTCTCGGGATCTTGGGCATGTACGCACACGCCCGGTATGAGTTTTAAGCCACCGGGTCCGGGATGTGAACCGCGGTCGACTACTTCTAGCTTACTATTACATAAAAGAGCAACTCATTTAGGGACCAGCAGTTAGGGTAATGGCTATGTCACTGGACTCCGACGTAGTCGACTGCGGTTCGCGTCCCGGACCCAGTGGCTTAAAACTCACGCTGGGCACGTG